ATTCACCTTCTCACTAATTCTTGTCAACAGGTGCCCGTGTAATGAGTTTACGACAAAACCTGGGCACTATCTGCAAATGACTCCTCATGGCCATGCGCAAATGGTGCCCAGACCTCAACATAAACTCATTTCACAGGTATAATTATAGGTAAGCGGAAAACATAAAAGTATATTCTACGCACGAAAGCAAAGGGGTAAATCCGCAGAAGATGAGATCTCACAACACTTTCCCGAGGCCCGCACCACTACCCTGCGTTTTGCCCTTCATGACCCCTCAAGAAATTGCTCAGTAGATTGAGAAGGCGGATTCGAGGTCAGCATCTTTGGGTGCACATAGGGTCATTCTTCTCGTCTTGAATAGCCATGGCGACCTGAAGGCCTTCTCTTGTCAGTGCTTCGAGCGATCGCTCAGATCTTGGTATTAACTGAGGATACGAACGATAAATGAGATGGAAGAATGGGAGGTATGCATGCTGCAAAAGTGGCGGTGGCCCCCAAGGAGGTGCGTAGAGACATCCGTCACCGCGAAGGATGCGCCCATCTCCCCGTAGCTAACCCCAACCAAGACCAGCGCGCCTGGTGTGGTCCGGCATGCCTCTCTGCTGAAATTTGCTCTTTATTCGAAATGGCATTCCGTGGTCAGAAAATTCTCTCGCTTTCCTTCCAGATTATGCGTTATCAATGAAAAGATGTGTTGTTGGCATGGTATCGGCTATCGGGATTAACAGATGCAAATGAGCTCGTCTCGTTCGCTGGCTCGTCTACAGCGGGAATCAGCGGGAAAAGAAGGCCTTTCGGGTGCGTCGTTTTCTTTCAATTTTTTTTGACCAGTGCACCCTCTACCACCTCTACTGAGGACGTAGCCAAAACTGATTAAGTTGTGAATCATTGGAAAGTCGGAAAGTCGAATAATTGTGAAATAATCAGACCTCTCAAGCTGCTCGTAATGTGCATTATGCACGAACTTGAACCACTTTTCTTGACCTTCCTCTCGATCAACTTCCATGGACAAACCTAGAACAGCAGGTCGACATTTCATAAAAAGAGGCTGCTGTTTGAAGTAAAAGGCAGATTCGGCGACAACCTCACCTATGCTTCTGATCGGTGGCCATGTGTTCTTTTGCTTGACGAGTTTCCCACCGCCACCAGCTTTGCGATGAGAACGATTTGAACTCGATGCTGATGCCTCCATCTAGTTACTGTTCATTAGATAGTACAAATTAAATTATGCTTATTATTGTGCGGATGCACTGACAAGAGATGTAAAAGCAGTCAACAACATTCAAGTTGGAAAGAAAGTTCTGCAACACTCTTTCTAAAAGTTTCTTTTTTTTTTCTGAAAAATTTATTGGTGACATTCATAGCAAACAAATGGTAGGGCATTCTCCGAGCTTTAATCAACGAGGTGGTTATAAGTGCTGCAATCGTATTGATATCCAAAAAATCCAAAAATTACCACTAGCAAATCCATACTCCGAGTCACTGTCTAGTACAATGGTCTCAAAACTATGGATTCGTGTCAACGACCACTATCTGCAATAGCTTCAATAGGCATGTCCGTTCACCGCTACAGCGTGTTTCACCTTTACCAGCGCTTTCGATCTTTTGATATTTTTATAAGAAGCCAGCAGCGTCCCGCACACTCCATTACAGGTAGGGCTCTTACGGAAGCTCCACTACAAATTCTTCGTTATGGGCACCATTGTGTAGGTAGAGGTCTAGGCTGCGGAACTCCAGAAGCTGGCCGAGGCAGCTCGTCAAGAGCCCTCGTACCGCGACAATATTTATTTCTTTCATGACATTGCGAATCACCATGATCCGAAATGAGCCCGGTAAGAAATTCTGGAGCTGCGGCAAGATTTCTTACCTCTCTTAGCGTATCCCCTGGTCGAGCTATAAATGACTGCCACCTATCCTGGACCTTAAATCATCATCTTGATGACGAAATAATTAGACGATCAACTCCAACTCGAAAGTGAGGTCGCCTCCTTTCTCGACCCGCACTCCGCTGGGTTTTGGCAAAGGAGCATCAAGAAATTTTCTGAGCGTTGAAGACAAGTGGTGGACACTCATGGTAGATATATGACCGGTCAGGAGTTGTAAACAAAAAAGATAAAATTAAAATCAAAAATTTGAAAAAGTGTTGCAGGACTTTCTTTCCAACCTAATACAAAAACCAGGCCAGCGAATGAGTCCAAATTCAAAGCAGCGAATTACCATAGTCTGCAATTCTCAAAAATCGAAGAAAAGTGAAATCACTTACCTTGAAACTCTTCCCGAGCGCTCTTTTGAGCTCTGCAGCTGCGTCAAAGAGTCTAGGATCAGGCTTGATGAGTTGATCAACTCCCAATGGTTCCTGGTCCTCAGCAGCCGATGTTAACGAGCGATTCTATAAGTGAACAATGAGTTGGCCATTTTCAAGCTCTCCCTTTTTCCTCTTTAAAAAACGACACTATGAATGCAAATGTCTCATGTAGCTGGAACGTATAAAACATCGGACTGGTCTGTCATTTCATACGATCCAACTATATTAAAAAGTCTAGTACATTCATCCAGGCAATCAATCCCTTATAAAATGTTTATGTTCATCACGTCTCTCATTTCTTGACGCGGTTCCTATGAACAAACCTCTAACATGAGCTGCTCCAATAGCTGTTCCTCATCAACTTCGTCTACTTGTTTTTTCTTCTGTTTTTTCCTTTTCTTTTTGTTCGATTTTCGTTCTTCCGCTTTATTTTGATGATGAGTAGCGTCAGTCTGATCTGCTGATGACTGAGGCTCCTCTATGTCACTTCCTTCAGATCTATCAGCAGTTCCTTCGTCATCTGAAAGTGGAATCATCCATCAATTCATATTCACGCCCATTACTGCGACAGAGATCCAGCTATGAAAAATGTGGTAAGAGACCCTTCAAACAGGAACTATTGGCTTGTTCGGAGAGATTCCGCCAATTTTGACCCCCATATTCAAAAGCACACATCTCGTATCAAACAAAACCTCTGCGATAGAAATAAAAACTATTACACTGCCTGTAGCCTTGCCCAAAAGAGGAGGGCTTAATAGTTCCGGATGTGGGAAGTGCTGGAGTTCTGTAGGCGAGGAACTTGGCGAAGGTCGTTTCCCCATCATGTTGGGTTTTAGCGTTGAATCTCTTTGAAAAAACTCAAAAAACGACAGTTGGTAGGCAAGAGGTCCGCTGTGCAAAATATTCGCAGCACAGTTTTGTAGCTCAGCTAGTTCAACTTGTGCACGTTGGAAGTGCGAGATGGGGCTGCGCAACTGTGGGAAGAAGAGTCGGCGGCACCCACTTGTCGATTCTCTGAGGGTCTTTGAACACCTGTATATTTGGGAACTCCATCTCACTTACGCCTATTTGGGAGGCGGCCTGCTCAACAGTTCCATGCAGCCAGGGTCAGTATCCGATATCCGACCTTTACCCTAATCTTCTTCGAAGCTTTTGTCATCGCGAAAAAAAAAACTTTTGATCCGCGAAAGTACTGCGTATTTGTTTAGGGATTGTAGACCAAATGGTCAATTGATATGGCAACTTGCTTCCGCATATTTCCGACAAAATTTGAGGGGAGTCAAGAAACTTGTGCAAAACAGCCTGTTGAGTGTGTTGTATTCAAGAATTAAGAGGAAAAAGTGTTTCAGATTAAAGTAGCGGTAGGTTTCAACAGAGCGAGAAGCGCACCTTCTAAAGATATATGAATTGGTAGCAGTTTTTTGAAAGCGATTCAGTAATCAGTCGTTCAAAAGGAATTCCTAAAAACGGCGGAAACTTTCCGAACAACCCAATATTTTTTCCGCTCTGTTTTACTCAACTGCGCATTTATATTTGAGTCACTGGTTGAACATCAACCAGTGAGCATTACTGTAGAAGACGAGACGGAAAACTTGCAGCTAACTATTAAAAATAAGCCATTGTTCATGGATCTCACAGAACTCTACCAGGTCTATTTGAGAAAAAAACACACCAAAAGACTCTAAAAACCGGTTTAATTTACAATAATAGTACCGATGGAAGCATATACAGAACAAACCCGAACTGGAGACCCATTAATGATAACTCTATTAAGCGATTTGATCGGCATTCTGGTAGGACAAGTCTTAGGTAAAGGCCGCCGGGCAACTTTGCTATGGCTCTGCGAATGTATGACTTACCCAACAAAAGCAGCGAAGCGGTTTACAGGCCCAGTTCGCTGTTGCACTGCATCCTCAACTTCCTCTGAAAGATCCTTTGCCTGCTCTTGCTCTTTCTCCTCAATCAACCGTCGCAAATGCTTGTGTTGACATTTTTGAGCAATCGTAAATAACCAGCACCATAGCAACAAATATAGAATCCTGCGTAACTCGTAAAAGGTCGAGCTGAAAAATAAAATGGTCCTTTTGACTACCATAGGTTCTCAAAAGATCACAACAGAATGAGTTCCATTTGTACATCAACATATACACTTACTGCTGGTGAGTTTCAACTCTCCAGTGCCACAGCCCGCATGTATCAGCATGTAAAGAGTAAGAGAGCAGTTAAGCACAAATGAACTTCGACCAAACACGGGGAAGTGTAGGTATGAAGTGATACAGAAGGTGCAAGTGTGTACAATCTTCTTCTTCACCCCCCCTTCTCCTCTCAGAAAAGATTGGTTTATAAGAACAGGATTGAGTAAACCACTTTCGAGCTCTTGTGTTTCATCCACAGTTTATCCTTCAAACGCACCAATTTTCCTACATCAGGCTTTTCATTGACTAATTCACTCTTCCTTAACTTATCCTAGCAGATGCTCCAGTGGCAGTGTTCCACTCAATTGGATAATGAAGTGGTCCTCATATGTAATGTTCTTTTAATTGCTAACACACAAAATTATACCAACCAGATTAAGCACGGACTCCAAACTCGTGGCTTTTCGAAGATCTAGGCACATCGTGGCAATTAATATACTGGATGGAGGTCCTTGAATGTGCACCGCAGAGGAATGATGTCTCCACTTTTATGTCAAAGCCAAAATCAATCAACTTTAGAGCAGATTATTGTAAAATATGGCGTTGAACCGAAGGAGAACATTTGCTGAGATAAGGACCTCGTAGGCTTTAAAGATCATGACCGCACAGTACGCTATGTAACACGGAAATACAAAAAACTGGGGGAGTGGAGAGTAAAGTTGTATCATTAAGGCTCAAATCAAAGACCGCTGTCATGATGACTAACAGACTTAGTAGTTTCATAGGAATGAACCTATCGATTAGTACAAACAGTTTTTTCAGGAGACTTCATTCACTGCAAAGTATGGCTCTAAGTGGTATCTCCACGAACGCAAAACACAATACCAGTACTTTTATGAAACACTTCGATTTAATCTCTTTTCAAATCTTAACAGAATTTCATACTGAACAATGGTATAACTAGGTCTGAATAATGTAACATATAGAGAGATTCAATATAGCACGCACATATAATAACGACTAGGATGAGCAAGAAACAAGACAGTATCTATCGCATTCTATCACCTTTCTTTAGGTATGAGTGCCGAGTCTGGCATCCACGATGGTTTATAAACAACAATAGGAGAACCGTCCACTTTCAGTGGTTGTCCAAAAGCGCTTAACACCATCAGAGCCAAACCGTGTCCGTTTCCACAGGAGATAACCTCAACAATCATATATGCACTGCGCACAATAACTGAGTGCACAAACGAAGATGAAAATACCTCGCCGACTTTTTTATCCTCCAGCATCACCGTTCCTTTTACAGCTTTTTCGCACTTAAACGGAAGTATCCGTCGTCGAATCACTCCTAAAGGTCAATCTCACTACAGAAGAAATTACAGTACAATGGCGCGAGAAACATCTTACCAGTATGTGCAGTTCGAGCTGTCAACTCTTGCCCTATATAACATCCCTTTTCCAAGGAAACCATATTCAGCAAATCACCGTTTGCCTGGAAATGCAGAGATGAAATTTAGTCATCCTTACTCTCCATGTGAGAACAGGTGTTCCACTGAAGATTAATGGGTGCGATCAAAAACGTGGGTTGAAGGTGACACCTGCACTAATTGCAAGTATCATAGACTAAATCGCGTACAAAGGGGTAACAGCTGAAGAACTGATCGTAAGATGATCACTGCTCTGCATACATTCTAGTATCTATTTACAAGACCTACATCTTTCTTAAAATTTATCCCTGGCTTTAACGGACAGGATAAACGGAAGAACACAATCAAAGAACCCATCAAACACTCTCACCCCCGCCCCCAATGGCAGCACAATCATAGCCGGATTACAATCGTCTTTTATAAACCTGTGTCTTGTCTTGCACAAAATTTGTAAGGCTGGTGTCAGAGTCCGCGATCCGTCGCAGCTTCGCTGATTTTCGCGATTTGCGCGATTTTCGCGATTTGCGCGAAACCTGCGATGGATCACAGGAGTTGGAAGTGCCCGATGAATACTGCGAGGTGTTGTTTAATCCTGCTGCGAATTCTGCTTGACAGTGAAGATTGAAAGATGACGTATCAGTGAATGGGTGGGAGAGAGTAATCGAGGGCAGGATTTTCAATGTGCGATCTGTCGACGCTTCGCGCGGGGTCACCAAATAAATGAAGTGCCCATTGAAATTTGAACACTGGACCAGGATGCTTTTGAAATTCCCAGTGGAATTTGAAAACCTAGATGACTGCTTAGAGATCATCAGAATGGAGGGAATTACAAATATGGACATTAAAACTGCTACGTGAACTTTATAAGAAAGTTACGAGCATTCAAAGTTGGCAAAAAACGTTACTGAGGTAGGCTTACCTGATGGAATCACGCTCGCCGTGGCTCTGCGCTAAACGAGTATCAAATTCGTAATCAGGGCACCCACTAACCCTTATAGAACAAGAAACCAGACAAAAAGCATCCGTGATTTCATCAGGTGAGCTCGCCTCAGTAACGTTTTTTGCCAACTTTGAATGCTCGTAACTTTCTTATAAAGTTCACGTAGCAGTTTTAATGTCCATATTTGTACTCAGCGTCCGAAACTCTATCGATGTTCATAGGTCTCCTTTCAAAGTTCCATGGGAAGTCAAAAACATTTCCTGGTAGTGAGTTTTGGAAACACTGAATATGAAACAAGTGGAATCATGAGCAGTCGTCATTCAGCCATCACTATCAAGCAGAAGTGGCGGCAGGATTGGAGAACACCTTGCAGTATTGATCGGGCACTTGTGATTTCCGTGACCCGTCGCGTGAATCGCGCAAATCGCGAAAATCAGCGAAACCTGCGACGGATCGCGGACTCTGACACCAGCCTGGTCGTGAGGTGCTCATATTATTGACAGTCCATTATGTCGCCAAGGAAGAAGCCACTCGCGAAATTGGAGGTTTGACGGGGCTGAATTAACGACCGTTACCACTTTGTCATCACTTAGTCGCACTGAACCCTTTGACTACTGGTGGGACACATGTGTCCCACTTCCGTAGTCAAAGACACTACCACAGTTTCCAGGGAATATTGAGGCAGGAGCGCTCATTTGATGGCTGAATTGTGCACATATAGAAGCTTTCTAATTCTTACTATGACAGTTAATCGTCAGAAGCTAAAGCGAGTCATCCTGCGTAAGTTAATCTTTGACTACTGGTGGTACACATGTGTCCCACTTCCG